TTGCTTTTCTCCTGAAGGGTTTCACTATTAAAACTTTGGAAAAACTTCTTAATAAGGCTAGCAATTTGCAGGAAGAGGCTCATAGGACGCCATTCCTACGAGAGCAGTCTGAAGACAAAAAAGGTCCTTGATTGGTTAAAACTTTTGAGAAGAAGGCAGTAGTGTCGGCAGTTGACAAAGGAAAGACGTCAATGGTCAGTTAGCCTAGTGCTCCTCCACCACCGCCACCACAGCCAGTTCAGAGACAGCCTTTTCAGATTACTCCTCAGTACACCAGAGACCCTGTCCCTCTTAGAGAGAGATTGGCAAAATCATATCCATTTAAAAGGGAGTCAGTTAAGAGGATTTTCAAGATTCTATTAAAGAAACCAGATTTTCAGTTGCCAGAGGCTAGGAGGCCTGAGGATGAAAGTAAGAAAGAAGATCCCAAATACTGTCCATACCACCGGATGCTTAGTCACCCTCTTGAAGACTGTGTTGTGTTTAAAGACTAGCTTGAGAGGAACTACACCCAAGGTAACATCATAATTCCTAAGGAATACTTGGTCGATCCAGAAAAAGCTTCCATTAAGATCATTTCAGGTAACTCTCTTAATCTTCCTTGTTTTGTTGAAGATGGTTGGGACATCGCTTTATCCTGGGCACTTAAAAAGTCGATTAACAAGTCTTTTCGTCTTTCTCAATAGCTAACTATGATAGCCCAGGACCCGGTGTGGGAGATTGACCTGGACGCTTCGCAGGAGGATGTGAGCCACTTTCCTCTCCAGTAGTCACCGGAACTACTGTCAAATATTTTAAAGAAAAAGAAGTTGATTTTGTAGAGAGGAACTGTGTAGATGAGAGATGTATTAGGATGGCAGATGGGGATGTTAAGACCCTTTCCCCTCTTTTGTTATCTGACTTTTATTTTGCCCCATCAAAGGAAAAGGGTCAGAATATGAATAAAAAACATCCTTCTGCTTCTGTCTTGAAGATTGACCATGGAAATGAAATGCAAATTGATGACTCTCCTATTTTAAATGAAAATTCTTGTGAAGAAACTCTCAATATTAAAGAAATTGATCTTCCCAAACCAGCTATTCAAGAAGAGGTCGAGTCGGAGCCTTTATTAGAAAGTGATTTCCCTCAAATCAATTTTCAAGGAAATCCTATCTTGATAGAATTTTCAGATTCTGACTCGCTGTCGGGAAATGATGACCCAACGCCTATGGTGTGCGTAGACACTGCCCTAGTTTGCCCTCCCGAGGATATCGAGCAGGTGCAACTCCGCGATGGTAAAGTCTTACCCCCTAGGCTTCCCCCTTAGGAGAAAGGCAAGCAACTTTCCTTTGAAGATTCGAATCCGCATTCCCCTCAACAGTCAGAATTTCCATTAATTCCTCCGGGTTTTGAGTCCGTCATTCCAAAGGTTGATTATAATGTTTTAGCCCATCTTAGGAAGTTGCCAGCAAAATTAAGCATTTACGACACCCTCCTTCTCTCTAAAGAAATGAGGGAGTCTCTAATTAAAGCACTTCTCGACCCCGAGATTTGCTTAACCCAGTTGGCTGCAACTTCAGAAGATAAGGCACTTTACTTCAAAGAGGTTCCTGGAGTTACCTTTTCAGATGAAGATATGCTCTTGAGAACTGCAGACCATAATCGTCCTCTCTACATTACTGTGGATGTGGGAAACTTTAAGTTATCAAGAGTCCTCATTGATCCGGGTGCATCGGTCAATATAATGAATATAAAGACCCTCGCATACCTCAGAATTGATACTAGCAAGCTTTCAACCGACAGGTTGGTGCTTCGTGGGTTCAATGAACAGGGCGAGAGGGCCTTAGGTTCAATCACTTTACTTTTAGTAATAGCAGGCTTGAAAACTGAAGCTAAGTTTCATATAATTGATTCGGCCACGTCCTTTAATGCCCTTTTAGGTAGACCCAGGATTCATGAATATAGAATGGTTCCATCTACCCTTCACCAATGCATCAAATACCAACGAGATGGCATTGAACATTCATTAAGGGTGATCTGCAACCATTTTCTATTCAAGAAATCGGGATCTACGAAGATGCTACATACTTTGTTCCTAAAGGGTCCTCATCCCGTTCTAAGTTAGAGATCAGAATTGAGGAGAAGTTGATTGGACAAAGTTCCAATCAAATGAAAGAAAAAGGAAAACATATTGAGCAAGAAATGACACAATTAAGTAGTGAAGACGACTCTGACATCGTTATCCTTAGGCCTCCAAACGCGTTACCTCAAAGAGGTGGGAGGATGGCCTTAAGGGCATGAGGTCGAGGCCGTGTTTCCTCAGAGAGGAGAACAACACCTGTTTTTATTGATTTGGAATCAGATTCCGATGTTGAGTTCACAGACCAAGGTGTTACTTTCTCCCTCCATTATAAAAATACAAATACTTCTCCAAAATTCGATCTCACTTTAAACGATGACAGTGACATTGAGGAAGATGTTGCAAAGGTGAAAAGTGACGAGCCTGAATTGACAATGTACGAAAAGCTCAGTAGAAGGATTGAGGCCCTTTCTCTGACCCCACTATCAGCTGGCAGGATTGCTGGGTTAGAAGTTAAAGTGGCCCCCAACTTGAACGGTAAAGTAAAGAAAGTCCAAAAATTCTTTCCTGGCTCCTCCTCCACAAGGGATGAAGGTGATGTAACCTTTGAGGAGACAGATTTTAATGAATTAATGGAATTACCTTTCGGCTACTTCCCTGTCTGTGTGAAGAATACTTTCTCTAAAGGTTCTGTACTATATCGATGGACTAAAGGTCAAGCCAGATACCACGAAAACATTTGGAAAACAAAAATTAAAAATAATCCTACAAGTGGTTTGTGCTTTGGAACTGTTAATTCATTCGACGATGATGAGTATTGCCTAATGATAACTTACCACCTTGAATCACCAAATGTCCCTACGGATCCCTTCTGTCCTCTTGATGGGCTCTGTTTGGAGACTTTGGATGATCCCGATGACCTTCAAGTTCGGGATGCACCCTCTGAATTTGAGGAGGAAATTAAATTGACGGTCGATGAATTAAAAGAAATTAACCTGGGAACCGATGACGACCCCCGTCCGATCTTTATAAGTGCTCTGCTGAGAGAGGGTGAAACCAAAGATTTAGTTCAATTATTGTCTGAGTTTAGGGATTGCTTTGCCTGGACATATGACGAAATGCCAGGTCTACCCGCTGAGGTAGCGGTTCATAAACTTGGAATTCGGCATGATGCCATTCCCGTTAAACAAGCTTCTCGACGCATGCGCTTAGAAATTGAACAACAAGTCGTTTCTGAAGTTAAGAAATTGGCCGAAGCTGGATTTATTCGAGAGGAATAATACCCCTCTTGGGTAGCTAGCGTCGTGCCAGTCCGAAAGAAAAACGGTCAAATTCGGATTTACGTCAATTATAGGGATCTGAATAAGGCTTGTCCTAAAGATGAGTTCTCTTTACCAATACCAGAGCTCATGGTGGACATTGCCTCCTCACATGCTATTTTCGCATTCATGGATGGATCATCGGGTTATAACCAAATCAAGATGGCCCCAGAAGATGAGAGAAATACAGCGTTCAAAACCCCTATTGGAATCTT